CTGCTTGTTTTTGTTAGAGGTGTTGATAAGCTGAATGTACCGAGGTGTCTGTTTGGAATACTGGCACACAGCTCAGACATCCATGCATACCCCACAAGACATGCTACCAGAGGTCTCTTCACAGTCCCCAAGTCCAGAACAGACTATTGGGAGACACACAGTACTATATAGAGCCATGACTACATGGAACTCTATTCCACATCAGGTAACTTATGCAAGCAGTAGAATCAGATTTAAAAAACTGGTAAAAATACACCTTATGGAACAACGGGGACTGTGAAGAGACACACACAAGGGTATAGACACATGCATACGCACACATTGTGATATTGTTGTATGGTGGTATTAAACATTTTGTATTGTAGATAGGTAGTGGTGTAATAATGTCATATGATGTACTGTTTTATATTTTGTTGTATATGTAATGTAAGTGCTTTAATCTGTTTGGACCCCAGGAAGAGTAGCTGCTTCCTTGGCAGCAGCTAATGGGGATCCCTAATAAATACAAATACAAATTGAAGTGGATTTAACAAGTGACATCAATAAGGGATAATATCTTTCACCTGGATTCACCTAGTCAGTCTATGTCATGGAAAGAGCAGGTGTCTTAATGTTTTGTACATGCAGTGTATATAAAAACACATTAAAATTACATTTTTGACAGCACTGGGCCTTTAAATCAGTGCTGACGCTTAATGATTGTGCATTTGCTATGTAGGCCTACAGCATGCAAAACATACTGTATTGCTGCTACTACATTAGCAGTCTGGAGAAGAGAGAGGGTCAATGAGAAAGAAAGTCACCTGTTGCCATAGCAGCAAACCAAAAGGACAGGTTTCCCATCTCTTCTACTGTTAGAGAGAATCATTAGCCTGTTACAATGCTTCATTATTTGCATAAATTGCAGCCTGAGCAAATATTCAGCAATATTGCTAAATTCAGCTCTTAGATTATTAGATAAGTAGTATGTTCGATTCCTAAGTGAAGAAATGTACCATGTTACAGACTACATTTAGACCTGGTGTGCTGCTTTAAACACGTATTATATGGCACTGGACAGACGTTTTATGTGCAAATTACTTCATGCAAATTCTGATGAATAAATACCAAGGACTGAAACACCAATGCAATTAATCGATACAAAAATAAATAGGCAAGCATCATAATAACGAATCACACAATTCCCAACCAATATAGGGGCGGCAGGTAGCCTCGACAATGGGGACCCTGGCCGTGACCCCACTCCCTGCGAGTGTCTCAGGTGGAGTTGGGATATGCAACAACAACAAAAACATTTCCATTACACAATTGTGTGTAACTGGGCTAATATAAGCGCCACACAAATTATTATCATTATTGTTGTGTTTTATAAGCTCTGCAAACATTTAACAGTTTATGAAATTATTATAAATACAACAAAGGTTTGAGAACACGTGTGGCTCAGTTGGTAGAGCATGGCACTTGCAACGCCAGAGTTGTGGGTTCGATTCCCACGGGGGACCTGCACGAACATGTATTCACTCATTACTGTAAATCGCTCTGGATGAGAGCGTCTGCTAAACGACTAAAATGTGTATGTTTATCTTGAGTCAACTCAGACAACTAGGCGCATGCGTTCTCAAGAAGCAGCCAGGAGGGGGGACTTTTCTAGCAACGGTAGTCTGCCAGTTAGGATAGCAGTCTAGCTGGTCTGACATCAGTACTGCGTACGAGGGAAGCTATTGCCCGACTTCAAATACATGATCCTTGGCTAATCCTCCAGCCTCTGAAGATAATAACATGTGTGCCGGAATTAGCTAGACACAGACACGAAAACAACGTTGTGGAGATTTACATAAAACAAATTCGCTGCTGTCGCGTTTCCGATACAGGTTCCATCCTCTCGGGTTCGTTGAGGATGAGGTTCCCGACCATCAGACGGTGTCCTGGGGAAGGAGATGGGAAGAAGGAACTCGCTCCACCATTTAGGAACCCTTTTGTGCATGACTTGAGATTCACCCCGCTCGAAAAGGCAAAGGTAAGCGAAAATATTACAACTGGTGCAACACGTTCACCTGTTTAGTTTAAAAATCGATAGAGACAGGCTAGATTTATATAAGGGTTCGCTAGCCAGCTAACTACCGATTAAGGTATTTAGCTAGCCTAACTGACTAGCAACTAACGTTAGCTAGAAGGCTGGCTACATGTTGCTCACTTGGCTCGCATACTTTAGCTACGAAGTCTTCACAACAAGCTGGAATAATATTTCGAACCCGCGCATTACCTTACACATAAACCACGACACACAGGGTAGCTATAAGACAACAATTCGCGTCTTGGCGTGGTTAGGCGTTAAGTAACATAGCTGATAAGCCAGCCACCAATGTTAAGGATTTTTTAGCGATAATACAAGATGATACGTCGTTTGCAAAAGGGTCGCAAGAGGCACGAACATCATCACTTGTGATAACTTTGTATTCCTGCTCAATCAGCATCTGTGGAGGCTTGTCCATGCAAGCGTTATGTTCTGCACGTGCGAGTTTGCTGAACGCTGGAAAAAAAATAGTTGGCTAACAATGTACAGGAGTATGACATAGACCAGGGAATGCATGTATCCCACTTGAGCTCAGTTGATAGAGCATGGCGTTTGCAACGCCAGGGTTGTGGGTTCGATTCCCACGGGGGGCCAGTATAAAAAAATAATAATGTATTCACTAACTGTAAGTCGCTCTGGATAAGGGCGTCTGCTAAATGACTAAAATGTAAATGTAAATGTAATGAGTTAAAGAACCAGACAGTGCAGAGCACTGACTTTCACTACGCCAGCAACTCTTCCGTTGCTTCTTCTATCAAAAGATGGGGCTGACAGTGCAGTATGAAGATGGGCTAAAACTGCTTCTCCAATAGAAATCCCCGATCACACATGTAGGCGATGTCATGGCGACGTTGTATAGCTAGGCGCATGCGTAGAAACACATGTTCGGGTCTAACGGTCGTCTCGCGCCGAACTGCGCATATGCAGGCTGTCAAATCAAAGGCGCTCCTTCGATATAAAGTTGTTTTTGACGAAAATGTGTCACTTTCACAAGATTGGAGTAATAACATGGTCTCGAATCTAGGTTGTGCCTTTCGATTTTGATTAAATTAGCAACTAAGGAATAATATTTTACTTCTCATTGACTTGTCAAACCCCGGCCTGGTCTGTTTCGCAAGCATCGTGATGTTGCGCCTCTGGGTTCAGAAACTCTGTGGGCACAGTTTACCGTGGGGTTCACTGCAACATTACATTTTACATTTTAGTCATTTAGCAGACGCTCTTATCCAGAGCGACTTACAGGAGCAATTATGGTTAAGTGCCTTGCTCAAGGGCACATCGACAGATTTTTCACCTAGTCGGCTCAGGGATTAGAACCAGCGACCTTTCGGTTACTGGCGCAACGCTCTTACCCACTAAGCTACCTGCCGCCCTCGTTTTAAGCTTTGTTTTACTATTGACAGTTATAGCTAATTTCGGAATTGAATATAGATTTGCTCTCCTTAATTATAAGTCATTTGATTTATTTGTTTCTGTCTCTGAATTCTTTAATCAAACTTTTCGCCTCCAACTCCTGATATCAGGGCATTAAAAACAACAACCTGTCTTCTGAACTAGCCTAGTGCGCTTGTGCACCCAGCTTGCTCTTTTACCCCAGTTTTCCCTGGCTAAACTAGCTGGCTGAACTAGCTGGCTAAACTAGCTGGCTAGCTGAGATATGATAGTTTGTGTCCTCATTGACAAACTTCATAAATACTGCACCCTCAACTTCATTAGCTGGAAATAAACTTCAAAATGATGTATGGTTTTGTTGAATAGTCATGACTATCTGTGGTAAGACGACGGTGGCGAAGGATATGATTGCTACTAAACACGGATCCAAGTTCAGTTTTGATCTGGGGTTTGAACCGTTTCAGGGAACAAAACCAGAAAATAACTTAATTTTTCAAGGAACAGAAACGGAACCGGGAACGAAAGTGATCCATAGTGCCCTCAAAACTCATCACTAAGCGAAGGACCCTGGGACTAACCACCTCCCTCTGCAACTGGATCCTGGACTTCCTGACGGGCCACTCCCAGGTGGTAAGGGTAGGCAACAACACATCTGCCACACTGATTCTCAACACGGGGGCCCCTCAGGGGTGTGTGCTTAGTCCCCTCCTGTACTCCCTGTTCATCCACGACTGCGTGGCCACGCACGACTCCAACACCATCAAGTTTGCCAACGACACAAGGGTGGTAGGCCTGATCACCGACAACGATGAGACAGCGTATAGGGAGGAGGTCAGTGACATGGCAGTGTGGTGCCAGGACAACAACCTCTCCCTCAACGTCAGTAAGATAAAGGAGATGATCGTGGACTACAGTAAAAGGAGGGCCGAGCACACCCCCATCCACGTCGACAGGGCTGTTGTGGAGCAGGTCGAGAGCTTCAAGTTCCTCAGTGTCCACATCACTAAGGATCTATCATGGTTCAAACACACCAACACAGTCGTGAAGAGGGCATGACAACGCCTCTTCCCCCTCAGGAGGCCTGAATCAGCTGCACCATTGAGAGCATCTTGACTAGCTGCATTACCGCCTGGTATGGCAACTGCTTGGCATCCAACCGTAAGGTGCTACAGAGGGTAGTGCGTACCGCCCAGTACATCACTGGGGCCAAGCTTCCTGCTATCCAGGATTTCTATACCAGGCGGTGTCAGAGGAAGGCCCAAAGAATTTACTCCAGCCACCCAAGTCATAGACTGTTCTCTCTGCTACTACACGACCTGGGGTGGACCTGGGAATCTATAGTGACCTGGGGTGGTTCTACCTGAATCTATAGTGACCTGGGGTGGTTCTACCTGAATCTATAGTGACCTGGGGTGGTTCTACCTGAATCTATAGTGACATCACCTGGGGTGGTTCTACCTGAATCTATAGTGACCTGGGGTGGTTCTACCTGAACTTATAGTGACCTGGGGTGGTTCTACCTGAATCTATAGTGACCTCACCTGGACTGGTTCTACCTGAATCTATTGTGACCTCATCTGGACTGGTTCTACCTGAATCTATAGTGACCTCATCTGGACTGGTTCTACCTGAATCTATGGTGACCTCATCTGGGGTGGTTCTACCTGAATCTATAGTGACCTGGGGTGGTTCTACCTGAACTTATAGTGACCTGGGGTGGTTCTACCTGAATCTATAGTGACCTCACCTGGACTGGTTCTACCTGAATCTATAGTAACCTCACCTGGGGTGGTTCTATCTGAATCTGTAGTGACCTCATCTGGGGTGGTTCTACCTTAATCTATAGTGACCTCATCTGGGGTGGTTCTACCTTAATCTATAGTGACCTCATCTGGGGTGGTTCTACCTGAATCTATAGTGACCTGGGGTGGTTCTACCTAAATCTATAGTACCTGGGGTGGTTCTACCTGAATCTATAGTGACCTGGGGTGGTTCTACCTGAATCTATAGTGACATCACCTGGACTGGTTCTACCGGAATCTATAGGGACCTGGGGTGGTTCTACCTGAATCTATAGTGACCTGGGGTGGTTCTATCTGAATCCATAGTGACCTGGGGTGGTTCTATCTGAATCTATAGTGACCTGGGGTGGTTTACCGGAATCTATAGTGACCTGGGGTGGATCTACCTGAATTTATAGTGACCTGGGGTGGTTCTACCTGAATCTATAGTGACATCACCTGGACTGGTTATACCGGAATCTATAGGGACCTGGGGTGGTTGTACCAAAATCTATAGGGACCTGGGGTGGTTCTACCTGAATCTATAGTGACCTGGGGCGGTTCTACCTTAATCTATAGTGACATCACCTGGGGTGGTTCTACCTGAATCTATAGTGACTTGGGGTGGTTCTACCTGAATCTATAGTGACCTGGGGTGGTTCTACCTGAATCTATGGTGACCTCATCTGGGGTGTTTCTACCTGAATCTATGGTGACCTCATCTGGGGTGTTTCTACCTGAATCTATGGTGACCTCATCTGGGGTGGTTCTACCTGAATCTATAGTGACCTGGGGTGGTTCTACCTGAATTTATAGTGACATGGGGTGGTTCTACCTGAATCTATAGTGACATGGGGTGGTTCTACCTGAATCTATAGTGACATCACCTGGGGTGGTTCTACCTGAATCTATAGTGACATCACCTGGGGTGGTTCTACCTGAATATATAGTGACTTGGGGTGGTTCTACCTGAATCTATAGTGACCTGGGGTGGTTCTACCTGAATCTATGGTGACCTCATCTGGGGTGTTTCTACCTGAATCTATGGTGACCTCATCTGGGGTGTTTCTACCTGAATCTATGGTGACCTCATCTGGGGTGGTTCTACCTGAATCTATAGTGACCTGGGGTGGTTCTACCTGAATCTATAGTGACATGGGGTGGTTCTACCTGAATCTATAGTGACATGGGGTGGTTCTACCTGAATCTATAGTGACATCACCTGGGGTGGTTCTACCTGAATCTATAGTGACATCACCTGGGGTGGTTCTACCTGAATCTATAGTGACCAGGGGTGGTTCTACCTGAATCTATAGTAACATGGGGTGGTTCTACCTGAATCTATAGTGACATCACCTGGACTGGTTCTACCTGAATCTATAGTGACCTCACCTGGACTGGTTCTACCTGAATCTATAGTGACCTCATCTGGACTGGTTCTACCTGAATCTATAGTGACCTGGGGTGGTTCTACCTGAATCTATAGTGACCTGGGGTGGTTCTACCTGAATCTATAGTGACCTGGGGTGGTTCTACCTGAATCTATAGTGACCTGGGTTAGTTCTACCTGGATCTATAGTGACCTGGGGCGGTTCTACCTGAATCTATAGTGACCTGGGACGGTTCTACCTGAATCTATAGTGACCTGCGGTGGTTCTACCTGAATCTATAGTGACTTGGGGCGGTTCTACCTGAATCTGTAGTGACCTGGGGAGGTTCTACCTGAATCTATAGTGACATCACCTGGGGTGGTTCTACCTGAATCTATAGTGACCTGGGGTGGTTCTACCTGAATCTATAGTGACCTGGGGTGGTTCTACCTGAATCTATCGTGACCTCACCTGGGGTGGTTCTACCTGAATCTATAGTCACCTGGGGTGGTTCTACCTGAATCTATAGTGACCTCATCTGGGGTGGTTCTACCTGAATCTATAGTGACATGACCTGGGGTGGTTCTACCTGAAGCTATAGTGACATCACCTGGACTGGTTCTACCTGAATCTATAGTGACCTGTGGTGGTTCTCCCTGAATCTATAGTGACCTCACCTGTGGTGGTTCTACCTGAATATATAGTGACCTCACCTGGGGTGGTTCTACCTGAATCTATAGTGACCTGGGGTGGTTCTACCTGAATCTATAGTGACCTCACCTGTGGTGGTTCTATCTGAATCTATAGTGACCTCACCTGTGGTGGTTCTATCTGAATCTATAGTGACCTCAGTGGTGGTTCTACCTGAATCTATAGTGACCTGGGGTGGTTCTACCTGAATCTATAGTGACCTGGGGTGGTTCTACCTGAATCTATAGTGACCTCACTTGGACTGGTTCTACCTGAATCTATAGTGACCTCACCTGGGATGGTTCTACCTGAATCTATTGTGACCTGGGGCTTTTCTACCTGAATCTATAGTGACCTGGGGTGGTTCTACCTGAATCTATAGTGACCTGGGGCGGTTCTACCTGAATCTATAGTGACATCACCTGGGGCGGTTCTACCTGAATCTATAGTGACATCACCTGGGGTGGTTCTACCTGAATCTATAGTGACCTGGGGTGGTTCTACCTGAATCTATAGTGACCTCATCTGGGGTTGTTCTACCTGAATCTATAGTGACTTGGGGTGGTTCTACCTGAATCTATAGTGACATCACCTGGACTGGTTCTACCTGAATTTATAGTGACCTGTGGTGGTTCTCCCTGAATCTATAGTGACCTCACCTGTGGTGGTTCTACCTGAATCTATAGTGACCTCACCTGGGGTGGTTCTACCTGAATCTATAGTCACCTGGGGTGGTTCTACCTGAATCTATAGTGACATCATCTGGGGTGGTTCTACCTGAATCTATAGTGACCTCATCTGGGGTGGTTCTACCTGAATCTACAGTGACATGACCTGGGGTGGTTCTACCTGAATCTATAGTGACCTGTGGTGGTTCTCCCTGAATCTATAGTGACCTCACCTGTGGTGGTTCTACCTGAATCTATAGTGACCTCACCTGGGGTGGTTCTACCTGAATCTATAGTGACCTCATCTGGGGTGGTTCTACCTGAATCTATAGTGACCTGGGATGGTTCTACCTGAATCTATAGTGACCTCACCTGGACTGGTTCTACCTGAATTTATAGTGACCTGTGGTGGTTCTCCCTGAATCTATAGTGACCTCACCTGTGGTGGTTCTACCTGAATCTATAGTGACCTCACCTGGGGTGGTTCTACCTGAATCTATAGTCACCTGGGGTGGTTCTACCTGAATCTATAGTGACATCATCTGGGGTGGTTCTACCTGAATCTATAGTGACCTCATCTGGGGTGGTTCTACCTGAATCTACAGTGACATGACCTGGGGTGGTTCTACCTGAATCTATAGTGACCTGTGGTGGTTCTCCCTGAATCTATAGTGACCTCACCTGTGGTGGTTCTACCTGAATCTATAGTGACCTCACCTGGGGTGGTTCTACCTGAATCTATAGTGACCTCATCTGGGGTGGTTCTACCTGAATCTATAGTGACCTGGGATGGTTCTACCTGAATCTATAGTGACCTCACCTGTGGTGGTTCTACCTGAATCTATAGTGACCTCACCTGGGGTGGTTCTACCTGAATCTATAGTCACCTGGGGTGGTTCTACCTGAATCTATAGTGACCTCATCTGGGGTGGTTCTACCTGAATCTATAGTGATCTCATCTGGGGTGGTTCTACCTGAATCTATAGTGACCTCACCTGTGGTGGTTCTATCTGAATCTATAGTGACCTCACCTGTGGTGGTTCTATCTGAACCTTATATCCAGATAAACCAACAAGTCAATGAGGATTTCATTTCCCTATTAGAGACCTAACGACCCTTGGGCCATTTACAGTCCCGGTAATTAAACTCCACATAACTATGCAAAATGTGGGCTTTATAATGCCTAATACTGTATCAGCCTGAAAATGTATCGAATGGAAAATAAAGCCACATGATGATGATGATGATATAGACTACCCTCTGTTGCTAGTGATTTAAATAGATTGGTCCTCAGTGATAACAGGTGGTCAGGCTCTGTTGCTAGTGATTTAAATAGATTGGTCCTCAGTGATTACAGGTGGTCAGGCTCTGTTGCTAGTGATTTAAATAGATTGGTCCTCAGTGATTACAGGTGGTCAGGCTCTGTTGCTAGTGATTTAAATAGATTGGTCTTCAGTGATAACAGGTGGTCAGGCTCTGTTGCTAGTGATTTAAATACATTGGTCCTCAGTGATTACAGGTGGTCAGGCTCTGTTGCTAGTGATTTAAATAGATTGGTCCTCAGTGATTACAGGTGGTCAGGCTCTGTTGCTAGTGATTTAAATAGATTGGTCCTCAGTGATAACAGGTGGTCAGGCTCTGTTGCTAGTGATTTAAATAGATTGGTCCTCAGTGATAACAGGTGGTCAGGCTCTGTTGCTAGTGTTTTAAATAGATTGGTCCTCAGTGATTACAGGTGGTCAGGCTTTGTTGCTAGTGATTTAAATAGATTGGTCCTCAGTGATTACAGGTGGTCAGGCTCCCCTGATATTGTGTTTTATGATTTGAAATACCTGTAGGCCTCAGCACCCAGCCTGCATCACGCTGTAGGCTGTTGTTGCTCTTCTGTTTCTTTCCCTGTCATGAAAATAACTGGCCTGCTCATTAGAAGCCTCAAATCTGGACCTTGAAGACAGTGTCAATGCTAATTTTCATTATTTCCTCAGTGAGTGATTTAGACCTGGGACACCAGGTGGGTGCAGTTAATTATCAGGTAGAACAGAAAACCAGTAGTAGTCAGTACCGCCACGGTAGGATTGGAATAACCGTGCATTAGAATCTTGTGTCTCAACTGTCTCCTGTTTAGAAGTGTTTCAAATGAAATGACTACCATAAATGGCACTCTGTTTCAACTTATGCAATGCGTGACATTTACATTTACATTTTAGTAATTTAGCAGACGCTCTTATCCAGAGCGACTTGACCATCATGAGAACAGTTTCCTGTGTGAAGCTAACCTCAGTGCTTCACTACAATGTAGGCTAGGTTTCACCGCGGTTCACTTGGTATGTAACCTTATGTAAGTCGTTACACGACTGAAAAGGTCTGTGTCACAGTTGAGAGGGGGGAAACATTGCTGTTGCTTTTACATCCTGCTAGTTGTAGGATTATTATCTCTCCTCTTTGCAACTCTAGGCTCCATTGTCATGGTAACATGGCTGAAACCACTGACTCCCCCTCTCCATTTAGTTACACAGCATGTTTTCATTCAGTGTGGCTTGCATGTATTCTCATGCATTGATTCTCTATAGATATTTCCCAGAATGCATTACTCTGGTTCATGTATATGACACTGAATTCCATTCATAATGTAGGTTATTCTGCGCTCCATTCAGGGTCGTGGTGAAAATTATTTTTGATCTAGACCAATGAAGCTAATTTAAATGAGCTTGAGAAAATGTAGGCTAGGTGAACTGTCCTATCCTACTGCACCCTGTGTTGTGGCTTTGGCAGTCTGTTGACCAGCTCTCTGAATGGTTGTTGGGGACATTGCTAGCATGGGTCAGCACTCTGTTTGTGTCATCATGCCTAACATGACAAGGAGACATGAGAGCTGGGACCAGGCTATACCATTGTCCCATTCTAGAGCCAGCCCACAGGGATGTATTGTCCCATTCTAGAGCCAGCCCACAGGGATGTATTGTATTATGTAGTGTAAAGGATGTCACACTGCTCATACCCAGGACATCTGCCTCACAAACACGTGACCACCCTCCTGAAGTGTCTTACGCAGTCGTGCCACTGAAAAACTGGCCAATTCAGGCTGAGTGAGTGAGTTAAATAGATCCCGATCTGCTACATGAGGCCAGAGGGATGTATTGATCACCAGATGTTGTTTAAAGCAGTGTTTCCCTTTACCGTTGTAAAATATTTTATTTTGTCAGGTCGCTTTTACCAAATCTGGTTGTAGCCATGATAGTTGATCCACTGTGATGTTTCTCCTGGCTGTGTTGACGTCTGTGAATTATGTCTCTGTGTGGTTTGTATGGCAGCAGTCCCAACTACCAGTCACTCCTACACAAAAGCCTCCCAGCCTTGGTTCAGTTCAACATCTCCCACAGGAGGATCTCAAGATGTCGGGCCAATCTTGTAAAGACATTCTGTTGAATGAAAGAAATCAGCCCTTAAATACTCAGTTGATGTTCCACTCATTTTACCAATCTTACATATCGTCAGTGTGGTTATGGTCAATCTGTCATGATGTTTCACAGGCTGTGTTGACGTTTGAGTTACATCTGTCTGTGTGTTTGTCCCAAATTGCACCCTATGAGCCAACCACAATCCATTTAAAAGAATGTCTCAGCCGAAATTAGTGATGGGGAAAAAATCTATACAGTTGCGTATCAGGATATTATTTTTGACGATATATTGTATAATTTTAACAATATCTCAATATTATTTTTGCGATAGTTGGCTGTACCTGCTCCTTTACCTCCAGTATTTTTCCTTCATAACTTGTTCTCCATCTTCTTTTTAAATAGGGAGCCAATTTGTTTTCAGCACTTTTATTTCCATGACTGATCAAAACTCATTTTCTCATGGCTCTCTCTTGTCCCTCTGCAGCAGACATACACTATATTTAAAAGAAGTATGTGGACACCCCTTCAAATTAGTGGATTCGGCTATTTCAGCCACACCCGTTGCTGAAAGGTGTATAAAATCGAGCACACAGCAACAACGGCTCAGCCGCGAAGTGGTAGGCCACACATGCTCACAGAACGGGACCGCCGAGTGCTGAAGTGTGTAGCGCGTAAAAATCGTCTGTCTTCGTTGCAACACTCACTACTGAGTTCCAAACTGCCTCTGGAAGCAACGTCGGCACGAGCTGTTCGTTGGGACCATGAAATGGTTTTCTATGGCCGAGCAGCCGCACACAAGCCTAAGATCACCATGCGCAACGGCAAACGTCTGCTAGAGTGGTGTAAAGCTCGCCGCCATTGGACTCTGGAGCAGTGGAAATGCGTGCTCTGGAGTGATGAATCACGCTTCCCCATCTGGGTTTGGCGGATGCCAGGAGAACGCTACCTGCCCGAATGCATAGTGCCAACTAACGTTTTATGGAGGAGGAATAATGGTCTGGGGCTTTTTCGGGCTAGGCCCCTTAGTTCCAGTGAAGGGAAATCTTAACGCTACAGCATACAATGACATATCTGGGTTTGGCGGATGCCAGGAGAACGCTACCTGCCCGAATGCATAGTGCCAACTAACGTTTTATGGAGGAGGAATAATGGTCTGGGGCTTTTTCGGGCTAGGCCCCTTAGTTCCAGTGAAGGGAAATCTTAACGCTACAGCATACAATGACATTCTTGACGATTCTGTGCATCCAACTTTGTGGCAACAGTTTGGTGAAGGCCCTTTCCTGTTTCAGCATGACAATGCCCCTGTGCACAAAGCGAGGTCCAAACAGATATGGTGTGTCGAGATCGGTGTGGAAGAACTTGACTGGCCTGCACAGAGCCCTGACCTTAACCCCATCGAACAACTTTTGGATGAATTGGAACGCTGACTGCGAGCCAGGCCTAATCGCCCAACATCAGTGCCCGACCTCACTAATGCTCTTTTGGCTCAATGGAAGCAAGTCTCTGCAGCAATGTTCCAATATCTAGTGGAAAGCCTTCCCAGAAGAGTGGAGGCTGTTATAGCAGCAAAGAGGGGACAAACTCCATATAAATGCCCATGATTTTGGAATGAGATGTTCGAGCATGTGTCCACATACTTTTGGTCATGTAGTGTATGGTGAGCAATATGTTTGGAACATCGAATCGAAATAAAATCACAGTATCGACTCGCAATACATATAGAATCGTGAGAATCGCAATACATATCGTATCGTGAGTCGTATCGTGAGGTCCCTGGCAATTCCCAGCCCTAGCAGAAATATATATATATATATATTTATTTTTTTAAATAGACATCATATTTTTTGCAGCGGTGACAAGAATTTAAATGAATATTCACTACCAGTCAAAAGTTTGGACCTACTCATTCAAGGGTTTTTCTTTATATTTACTATTTTTTACATTGTAGAATAATAGTGAAGACATCAAAACTATGAAATAACACATGGAATCATGTAGTAAACAAAAAAGTGTTAAACAAATCAAAATATATTTGAGATTTGAGATTCTTCAAATAGCCACCCTTTGCCTTGATGACAGCTTTGCACACTCTTGGCATTCTCTCAACCAGCTTCACCTGGAATGCTTTTCCAACAGTCTTGAAGGAGTTGGCTGCTTTTCCTTCACTCTGCGGTCCGACTCATACCAAACCATCTCAATTGAGTTAAGGTCAGGGGATTTTGGAGGCCAGGTCATCTGATGCAGCACTCCATCACTCTCCTTCTTGGTAAAATAGCCCTTACACAGCCTGGAGGTGTGTTGGGTCATTGTCCTGTTGAAAAACAAATGATAGTCCCACTAAGCCCAAACCAGATGGGAATTGCGTATCGCTGTAGAATCCTGTGGTAGCCATGCTGGTTAAGTGT